ATGAGGGTGTAGCTTGTAAAACAGCGACATGAAAACGTGGTGTGTGATTAAAATGTTGATATTTTTTCCTTCTGTTCTTCTGGGTTATTCCACAACATTAAACAATGGTCTTTAAACCCCCCAAATAATCGATATCACCATTTTACGGTGCATGAAATGGAGATGCATTCAAGTTTAACAACAACACACATAGAGAGGAGACCTTTTAGTGCCCACAACAATGAAATGGTGACTGAGTTTATCAGTATGTGCATAGGAGATGTTGTGCCCACTGTGACTATTAAAACCTACCCTAACCAGAAACCGTGAATAGATGGCAGCATTTGCGCAAAACTGAAAACGCGAACCATCACATTCAATCTGTCCCTATCCCAGTCTGCTGTCCCCACATGCTTCAAGATGGCCACCCTTGTTCCTGTACCCAAGAAAGCAAAGGTAACTGAACTAAATGACTGTTGCCCCGTAGCACTCACCTCTGTCATCATGAAGTGCTTTGAGAGACTATTCAAGGATCATATCACCTCTACCTTACCTGTCACCCTAGATCCACAGACGATGCAATCGCCATCACACTGCACACTGCCCTATCCCATCTGGACAAGAGGAATACCTATGTGAGAATGCTGTTCATTGACTATAGCTCAGCATTCAACACCATAATACCCTTCAAGCTCATCATTAAGCTTGAGGCCCTGGGTCTGAACCCCACTCTGTGCAACTGTGTCCTGGACTTCCTGACGGGCTGCCCCCAGGTGGTGAAGGAAGGAATCAACATCTCCACTTCGCTGATCCTCAACACTGGGGCCCCACAAGGGTGCGTGCTCAGCCCCCTTCTGTACTCCCTGTTCACCCATGACTGCGTGGCCAAGCACGCCTCCAACTCAATCATCAAGTTTGCAGACGACACAACAGTAGTAGGCTTGATTACCTACAATGACGAAACAGCCTACAGGGCGGAGGTGAGGGCTCTGGGAGTGTGGTGGGCTCTGGGAGATGATCGTGGACTTCAGGAAACAGCAGAGGGTGCACCCCCCATCCACATCGACGGGACCGCAGTGAAGGTTGAAAGCTTTAAATTCCTTGGCGTACAAATCACTGACAAACTGAAATGGTCCACCCACGCAGACAGTTTGGTGAAGAAGGCGCAACAGAGCCTCTTCAACCTCAAGAGGCTGAAGAAATTTGGCTTGGCACCTAAAACCCTCACAAACTTTTACAGATACACAATTGAGGGCATCCTGTCGGGCTGTATCACCGCCTGGTATGGCTACTGCACTGCTCGCAACCGCAGGGCTCTCCAGAGGGTGGTGCTGTCTGCCGAACGCATTACCGGGGGCAAACTACCCGCCCTCCAGGACACCTACAGCACCCGATGTCACAGGAAGGCCAAAAAGATCATCAAGGACATCAACCACCCGAGCCACTGCCTGTTCACCCCGCTATCATCCAGAAGGTGAGGTCAGTATAGGTGCATCAAAGCTGGGACCGAGAGAATGAAAAACAGCTTCTATCTCAAGGCCATCAGACTGTTAAATAGCCATCACTAGCACATTAGAGGCTGCTGCTGCCTATTGAAATCACTGGCCACTTTAATAATGTTTACATATATTGCACTACTTATCTCATATGTATATACTGTATTCTATAATATTCTACTGTATCTTAGTCCATGCCGCTCTGTCATTGCTTGTCCATATATGTATATATTCTTAAATTCCATTCCTTACTTAGATTTGTGTGTATTGGGTATATGTTGTGAAATTGTTAGATATTACTGCACTGTCGGAGCTAGAAGCACAAGGATTTCGCTACACTCGCAATAACATCTGCTAAACACGTGTATGTGACAAATAAAATTTGATTTGATTTGATATTACATGGCTTATGATGCAGACTGAGGCAGAAAAATAGCTCTTTCCCTTTTTCATGTCTCCCTTTAGGCGATAGCGGAACACTCAACACTGCCTTTGATCTTTGAAGAATAAATCCTGCCTATTTTGCTGCTGACCAGTCCCATTATACAAGAGGGAGGGATAGAGGGAAAGGGATAAAGAGAGAGGGAGAGAGAGTGTGAGAGAGAGGGTGGGATATTGAGAGAGGGAGATTGAAAGAGAGAGAGAAAAAGCGAGTGAGAAAAGGGGGTGAGAGCAGAGGGGGAAATATACTCTGCAGCAGAAAATGAATTCCTGGGTGCAAGAGAGGGGGCTTGGCTCCTATTGGCCGTTATAAATGAGAGAGTGTGTGAGTAGCGGGAGAGTTCCAGACATGTAGCTTACACATATCCAACACACCATATCACCTCAGTGCATGTTCCTGGCATTACTAGCCCCTTAATGAAGAGTGTGGCTTATACACATACACTACCGTTCAAAAGTTTGGGGTCACTTAGAAATGTCCTTGTTTTGGAAAGAAAAGCAATTTTTTTGTCCATTAAAATAAAATGGATCAGAAATACAGTGTAGACATTATTAATGTTGTAAATGGCTATTGTAGCTGGAAACTGCAGATTTTTTATGGAATATCTACATAGGCGTACAGAGGCCCATTATCAGCAACCATCAGTCCTGTGTTCCAATTGCACGTTGTGTTTGCTAATCCAAGTTTATCATTTTAAAAGGCTAATTGATCATTAGAAAACCCTTTTGTAATTACGTTTGCACAGCTGAAAACTGATGTGCTGATTAAAGAAGCAATAAAACTGGCCTTGTTGAGACTAGTTGAGTATCTGGAGCATCAGCAATTTTGGGTTTGATTACAGGCTCAAAATGGCCAGAAACCAATAACTTTCTTCTTCAACTCGTCAGTCTATTCTTGTTCTGAGAAATGAAGGCTGTTCCATGCGAGAAATTGCCAAGAAACTGAAGATCTCGTACAACGCTGTGCACTACTCCCTTCACAGAACAGCACAAACTGGCTCTAACCAGAATAGAAAGAGGAGAGGGAGGCCCCGGTGCACAACTGAGCAAGAGGACAAATACATTAGAGTGTCTAGTTTGAGAAACAGATGCCTCACAGGTCCTCAACTGGCAGCTACATTAAATAGTACCCGCAAAACACCAGTCTCAATGTCAACAGTGAAGAGGCGACTCCGGGATGCTGACCTTATAGACAGAGTTGCAAAGAAAAAGCAATTTCTCAGACTGGCCAATAAAAAGAAAATACTAAAATGGGCAGTCTGAGATAAGGCTTTTTCTTTGCCCAGCGTAATAACACAGTCATAACCATGTCATAATAAGTCATAACAGATGACATAACTTGTCATAGCCTGTCATAATATGGTCATAACACTATCATGACACATATATTTACACCTGTTGTGACATATATTGTGTTATTTTATGGCAGGTTATTACACCTACATAAGATTGTCATAACCCACAAAACCTACTAAAGTAGTTACTTTATGGCTGGTTATGACACCTACATTTTTTTTATTTATTTTTTACCTTCATATAACTATGCAAAGTCAGTTAAGAACAAATTCTTATTTACAATGACGGCCTACCAAAAGAGTCTTTGAATGAAGAGATGGAGATAAAACTGTCCAGTTTGAGTTTTTTTTGCAGCTCGTTCCAGTCGCTAGCTGCAGCAAACTGAAAAGAGGAGCGACCCAGGGATGTGTGTGCTTATTGGACCTTTAACAGAATGTGACTGGCAGAACGGGTGTTGTGGAGGATGAGGGCTGCAGTAGGTATCTCAGATAGGAGGGAGTGAGGCCTAAGAGGGTTTTATAAATAAGCATCAACCAGTGGGTCTTGTGACGGGTATACAGAGATGACCAATTTACAGAGGAGTATAGAGTGCAGTGATGTGTCCTATAAGGAGCATTGGTGGAAAATCTGATGGCCAAATGGTAAAGAACATCTAGGCGCTAGAGAGCACCCTTACCTGTCGATCTATAAATTACATCTCCGTAATGTAGCATGGGTAGGATGGTCATCTGAATCAGGGTTAGTTTGGCAGCTGGGGTGAAAGAGGAGCGATTACAATAGAGGAAACCAAGTCTAGATTGAACCTTAGCCTGCAGCTTTGATATGTGCTGAGAGAAGGACAGTGTACCGTCTAGCCATACTCCAAAGTACTTGTATGAGGTGACTACCTCAAGCTCTAAACCCTCAGAGGTAGTAATCACACCGGTGGGGAGAGGGGAATTCTTCTTACCAAACCACATGACCTTTGTTTTGGAGGTGTTCAGAACAAGGTAAAGGACAGAGAAAGCTTGTTGGACACTAAGAAAGCTTTGTTGTACAGTGTTTAACACAAAATCCGGGTAGGGGCCAGCTGAGTGTAAGACTGTATCATCTGCATATAAATGGATGAGAGAGCTTCCTACTGCCTAAGCTATGTTGTTGATGTAAATTGAGAAGAGCATGGGGCCTAGGATCGAGCCTTGAGGTACTCCCTTGGTGACAGGCAGTGGCTGAAACAGCAGATGTTCTGACTTTAGACACTGCGCTCTTTGAGAGAGGTAGTTAGCAAGCCAGGCCAAAGACCCTTCAGAGACACCAATACTCCTTTGCCGGACCACAAGAATGGAATGGTCTACCGTATCAAAAGCTTTGGCCAAGTCAATAAAAACAGCAGCACAACATTGCTTAGAATCAAGGGCAATGGTGACATCATTTAGGACCTTTAAGGTTGCAGTGACAAATCCATAACCTGTGCGGAAACCAGATTGCATACCAGAGAGAATACTATAGACATTAAGAAAGCCAGTCAGTTGATTATTGACAAGTGTTTCCAACACTTTTGATAAACAGGGCAAAATGTAATTTGGCCTATAACAGTTAGGATCAGCTTGATCTCCCCTTTAAATAAAGGATGCACCGTGGCTGCCTTCCAATCAATGGGAACCTCCCCAGACAGCATAGGCAGGTTAAAAAGGTCAGAGACAGACTTGGCAATGATAGGGACTGCAACCTTAAAGAAGAAAGGGGTCAAGTTTAAGGAGCTCCTTTAGCACCTCAGACTCAGTGACTGCCTGCAGGGAGAAACACCTTTTCCCCTGCCTGGGCAGGGGAAAAGGTGGGAGGAGCATCGAGGGTAGTCGCTTTAGAAGGGGTGGGAGATGAGGAAATGTTGGACGGGCAATGAGGCATGGATGAGTAAAATAGGAATCCTGTCTTAATGAAGTGGTGATTATAAAGCTCAGCCATGAGCTCCTTGTCAGTAACAACCACATCATCAACATTAAGGGACATGGGCAGCTGTGAGGATGACAGTTTATTCTCCAGGTCTTTAACCGTTTTCCAGAACTGCTCCTTAAAGTAACTAACTTTGGCCTTCCGGATAGCCTGAGTGCACTTATTTCACATTTGCCTGAACGAGAGCCAGTCAGCCTGAGTATGCATGTGCCAAGCCTTTCACCAAATTGAATTCTTGAGGTGGAGTAACTCTGCCAGATCACGGTCCAACCAGGGGCTGAACCTGTTTATAATTCAAATGTTCTTTATGGGGGTGTGTTTGTTAACAATACCACTGAAAATATCAAAAAAGAAGGTCCAAGCGTCTTCGACAGAGGGGATCAAGCTGATTCTATACCAATTTACAGAGGCCAGGTCATGAAGGAAGGCTTGCTCATTAACATATTTTAGCAAGCGTCTATGACAGACCAGGGCAGGTCGTTTCACTAAGCAGACATTAAATCAAATCAAATCAAATTGTATTTGCCACATGTGCCGAATACAACAGGTGTAGACATTACAGTGAAATGCTTACTTACAAGCCCATAACCAACAATGCAGTTTAAGAAAAAAAATTAAAACAGCAAATAATTAAAGATAGTCCGGGTAGCCATGATTAGCTGTTCAGGAGTCGTATGGCTTCGGGGTAGAAGCTGTTAAAAACCTTTTGGACCTAGACTTGGCGCTCCGGTACCGCTTGCCGTGCAGTAGCAGAGAGAACAGTCTATGACTAGGGAGGCTTGAGTCTTTGATCATTGTTAGGGCCTTCCTCTGACACCGCCTGGTATAGATGTCCTGGATGGCAGGAAGCTTGGCCCCAGTGATGTACTGGGCCGTATGCACTACCCTCTGTAGTGCCTTGCGGTCGGAGGCCGAGCAGTTGCCATACCAGGCGGTGATGCAACCAGTCAGGATGCTCTCGATGGTGTAGCTGTATAACTTTTTGAGGATCTGAAACCCATGCCAAATCTTTTCAGTCTCCTGAGGGGGAATAGGCTTTGTTGTGCCCTCTTCACGACTGTCTTGGTGTGTTTGGACAATGATAGTTTGTTGGTGATGTGGACACCAAGGAACTTGAAGCTCTCAACCTGTTCCACTACAGCCCCGTCGATGAGAATGGGGGCGTGCTCAGTCCTCTTTTTTTTCCTGTAGTCCACAATCATCTCCTTTGTCTTGAGCACGTTGAGGGAGAGATTATGAACACACGCTGTAAAACAGTGATCACTAAGTTCATTAACAGAAAACACCAGACTGATACCTATCAGGATTATTTGTGAGGATAACATCTAGGAGAGTAGCCTTTTCTGGGTGTTTGGAGTCATACCTTGTGGGATTGGTAATCATCTGAGAAAGATTTAGGGAGTCCCATTGCTTTAGGACTTGGTCAGGTGGTTTAAGCATGTCCCAGTTTAGGTCACCTAGTAGGAGAAATTCAGACATAGTGTAAGGGGCCAGGAGAAAGCTTAGGGAAGGTAGGGTACAGGCCGGTGGTGATGGTTGACGAAAACACCCAGCAACAGTCAACAAAGCTATTTGAAAGTTTAATGCTTAAAACCAGCAAATCAAATTGTCTGGGGACAGACTTGGTGGAGACAACCAAGTACTGAAGGTGTTCCTTGGTAAAGATTGCCATTCCACCAACTTTGAAAGATCTGTCTTGCCGAAATAGGTTATAACCAGAAAGAATGTCAAAACCCACAAAACCTACAGTACCACACAAGGCAAAACATTCCATTTCATCATAGCCTACTTGTCAACAGCATGTTTATGTTATATAACATTTTCTGAAATTGACCATATTCAATTAGCATTATAATTCCGCACACATTGAAGTCAGACATGCACCAACCCCAATGCTCTGTTGCTGATGACTAGGATGAATGCAGCAGCAGATTTTAGGAGCACGACAAGACACCCTCTTTTTGACTAGTGACTGACATGATGGCATGCATGTGATAGGCCTATCTGGCAGGAATGATGATGTTAATAATGCTTCTTGACAGTGTCAAAGTGTATTTTTTTAGTCCAAGTAAAGTGACAAAGGATGGTCATAATGCTTCTTGACAGTGTCATACAGTATATTTTCTTAGTCCAAGTAAAGTGACACAGGATGGTTAAAATGCTTCATGAAAGTGTGAAGTTATTTAAAATATGAATGTAAACAATTAATTACAACATCAACAAAGGATTTAAGACACAAACATTCAAACGAAAGGAAAATTCTTGGCAGAGTTAAACACATTTGATTTAAATGTGGGTTTTGACACTCATGTACAGTGAGGGAAAAAAGCATTTGATCCCCTGCTGATTTTGTACGTTTGCCCACTGACAAAGAAATGATCAGTCTATAATTTTAATGGTAGGTTTATTTGAACAGTGAGAGAGAGAATAACAACAAAAAAATCCAGAAAAACGCATGTCAAAAATGTTATAAATTGATTTGCATTTTAATGAGGGAAAGAAGTATTTGATCCCCTCTCAATCAGAAAGATTTCTGGCTCCCAGGTGTCTTTTATACAGGTAACGAGCTGAGATTAGGAGCACACTCTTAAAGGGAGTGATCCTAATCTCAGTGTGTTACCTGCATAAAAGACACCTGTCCACAGAAGCAATCAATCAATCAGATTCCAAACTCTCCACCATGGCCAAGACCAAAGAGCTCTCCAAGGATGTCAGGGACAAGATTGTAGACCTACACAAGGCTGGAATGGGCTACAAGACCATCGCCAAGCAGCTTGGTGCGAAGGTGACACAGTTGGTGCGATTATTCGCAATTGGAAGAAACACAGAAGGACTGTCAATCTCCCTCGGCCTGGGGCTCCATGCAAGATCTCACCTCGTGGAGTTGCAATGATCATGAGAACGGTGAGGAATCAGCCCAGAACTACACAGGAGGATCTTGTTAATGATATCAAGGCAGCTGGGACCATAGTCACCAAGAAAACAATTGGTAACACACTACGCCGTGAAGGACTGAAATCCTGCAGCGCCTGCAAGGTCCCCCTGCTCAAGAAAGCACATATTCAGGCCCGTCTGAAGTTTGCCAATGAACATCTGAATGATTCAGAGGAGAACTGGGTGAAAGTGTTGTGGTCAGATGAGACCAAAATGGAGCTCTTTGGCATCAACTCAACTCGCCGTGTTTGGAGGAGGAGGAATGCTGCCTATGACCCCAAGAACACCATCCCCACCATCAAACATGGAGGTGGAAACATTATGCTTTGGGGGTGTTTTTCTGCTAAGGGGACAGGACAACTTCACCGCATCAAAGGGACGATGGACGGGGGCCATGTACCGTCAAATCTTGGGTGAGAACCTCCTTCCCTCAGCCAGGGCATTGAAAATGGGTCGTGGATGGGTATTCCAGCATGACAATGACCCAAAACACATGGCCAAGGCAACAAAGGAGTGGCACAAGAAGAAGCGCATTAAGGTCCTGGAGTGGCCTAGCCTGTCTACAGACCTTAATCCCATAGAACATCTGTGGAGGGAGCTGAAGGTTCGAGTTGCCAAACGTCAGCCTCAAACCTTAATGACTTGGAGAAGATATGCAAAGAGGAGTGGAACAAAATCCCTCCTGAGATGTGTGCAAACCTGGTGGCCAACTACAAGAAACGTCTGACCTCTGTGATTGCCAACAAGGGTTTGCCACCAAGTACTAAGTCATGTTTTGCAGAGGGGTCAAATACTTAATTCCCTCATGTCACGATCGTTTAAAGATTCGTGGAACCAAGGCGCAGCGTGATAAGCGTACATTTTATTACGTACTTAACACGACACAAAACAACAAACAAACGATACGTGAAGTCCTAGATTACACAAAACAAACCTTAACGGAACAAGATCCCACACCGACTAGTGCCAAACAGGCTGCCTAAGTATGGTCCCCAATCAGAGACAACGAGATACAGCTGCCTCTGATTGGAATCACCCTGGCCAACATAGATCTAAACGATCTAGCACATCAACATAGAAAATAACACAGAAACTACCCACCCTGGCTCAACATTTCAGAGTCCCCAGAGCCAGGGCGTGACAGTATCCCCCCCCCCCAAAGGCGTGGACTGCGACCGCGCCACACAAACACAACAGGGTAGGGGCCGGGTGGGCATTCGGCTCCGGGCGTGACCACCACTTTCTCTCCACCTCCCCGTTGCGCCCCTGATCTGGTCTGGCACCGCTGACTGGAGCTGGACCCGACGATGGTGGATCAAACCGTACAGGCTCCGGACTGGAGCCCCTGGCCGGAGCTGGACTGGACACCGGTGGAGCGGATTGCTCTGGCTCCGGAGTGGAGCAGCTGACCGGTGCCGGACCAGGCACCGGTGGAACAGGCACGGGCCGTGCCGGACTGGACACACGCACCACTGGCTTGGTGCGGGGAGCAGGAACGGGCCGGACCGGGCTGACGACGCGCACCACTGGCTTGGTGCGGGGAGCAGGAACGGGCCGGACTGGGCTGACGATGCGCACCACTGGCTTGGTGCGAGGGGCAGGAACAGGCCGGACCGGGCTGGCGACGCGCACCACTGGCTTGGTGCGAGGGGCAGGAACAGGCCGGACCGGGCTGGCGACGCGCACCACTGTCTTGGCGCGAGAGACAGGAACAGGCCGGACCGGACTGGGAACACGCACCACTGGCTTGGTGCGAGGAGCAGGAACAGGCCGGGCTGGACTGGGAACACGCACCACTGGCTTGGTGCGGAGAGCCGGAACGGGCCGGTCCGGACTGTGGACACGCACCACTGGCTTGGTGCGGGGAGCAGGAACAGGCCGGGCTGGACTGGGAACACGCACCACTGGCTTGGTGTGGGGAGCCGGAACGGGCCGGGCCGGACTGTGGAGGTGGACTGGAGGTCTGGAGCGAAGAGCTGACACAACTGGCTGAATGCCTACTTCCACACAATATGTGTGAGGCATCAGCACAGGACGTACGGGGCTGTGCACTCGTACTGGCGCTACAGCACGTGGCACTGGCGCAGGATAAACGGGACCGAGGAGGCGTACTGGAGACCACGAGCGTTGAGCCGGCACACCCCGTCCTGGCTGAATGCCCATCTTTGCACAACACGTGCGTGGTGCTAGCACAGGACGTACAGGACTGTGCCGGAACACTCACGGCACAGTACGTGGCTCCGCATAACACGGAGCCTGCCCAGTCACACGCTTCCTAGCCTGAGCACGGGGAGTTGGCTCTGCATTAACCCTAGGCTCCGCCAACCACCCTTTTAGCCCCCCCAAAACAAATTATTGGGACTGTCTCTCGGGCTTCCTCCTCGGCCGGTACCCTCTGCGTTGCCGCTGCTCCTCTCTATAGCGCGCCTCCACAGTCTCCTCCCAAGGACGGCGATCCATTCCGGCCTGAATCTCCTCCCAAGTCCAGGATCCCTTCCCGTCCAGGATCTCCTCCCAGGTCCAGGCTGTCTGTTCCTGGACACGCTGCTTGGTCCTCTTTTGGTGGGATCTTCTGTCACGCTCGTTTAAAGATTCGTGGAACCAAGGCGCAGCGTGATAAGTGTACATATTATTACGTACTTAACACGACACAAAACAACAAACAAACGATACGTGAAGTCCTAGGTTACACAAAACAAACCTTAACGGAACAAGATCCCACACCGACTAGTGCCAAACAGGCTGCCTAAGTATGTTCCCCAATCAGAGACAACGAGATACAGCTGCCTCTGATTGGTAACCACCCTGGCCAACATAGATCTAAACGATCTAGCACATCAACATAGAAAATATCACAGAAACTACACACCCTGGCTCAACATTTCAGAGTCCCCAGAGCCAGGGCGTGACACCTCATTAAAATGCAAATCAATTTATAAAATGTTTGACATGCGTTTTTCTGGATTTTTTTGTTGTTATTCTGTCTCTCACTGTTCAAATAAACCTACCATTAAAATTATAGACTGATCATGTCTTTGTCAGTGGGCAAACATACAAAATCAGCAGGGGATCAAATACTTTTTTCCCTCACTGTAGGTGTCATAAGCAGCCATAAAATAATGTAATATATCAGGTGTAAATATATGGGTCATGACAGTGTTATGACCATATTATGACAAGTTATGACCGTGTCATAACGTGTTATGACGCTGGGTGTCAAGTAAAGTGTTTCCTTAAAACCAATAGACAAAGAGCATGTGCATTTATCGATGTGAATAAAAAAACAAGGCATGATTAACATGAACTAGAAAAGGACATTTAATAAAGTAAATGTGGTGTGCTTGCTAGTCTTGAAGTATTTATGGATGTGAAATAGTATTGGTAGTAGTAGTAGTGGTAGTGGTAGTGACGGCAGCAGTAATGGTAGCAATAGGGTTTTAATAGGCTAGTTATAGTGAGCTATTTTTGGGGTGATTTGTAGGTGTGGAGTTATTATAGTGGGTTATAGTGGGCTAGTATAGTAAGCTAGAGTGAGTATATTATCATCATAAGCCATTAGTGTTTTTAAGCGCTTTTTGAACATTCTGAAAGTTTTGTGGCCGTGATTTCAGTTTAGCATGTTGAAGCCTGCATTCCGCTATTGAAATGAA